ATAGGGTTTCCTTCTAAGTACGCTGCTTTGAGTCGATCGATACTGATGCTATCGTTCGTACCGTTCTTATCGACTACATAGTACTTAGGTTCGCAGTGAAGAACTTTGAAGGGTCCTTCGTACGCTGATTCGAGGGGTCGTCGATGTGAGTCTCGACGAACGAAGACGTGTGTACTCTGTCGTAATTCCTTTTGAACGAAAACATCAGTTGATTAAGGTCGAGTGTGAGCAGGTTCAACTGAACGCATAGCGTTTGTAAGCCTACTCGTGTAAGAGTTTAGATCCATGTTCAATGAAGAAGCTGAAGGATCCACGAATTCTCCTGGGAGTCGGAGTGTCGTTCCGTAAACGAGTTGAGATGCCGTGTATCCTATGTCAGCTTTCACTGCATTGCAGATACCTAGCAAGACGAATGGAAGAGCGTCTGTTCACTGTGAAACATTTGAAGCTGATAATGAAGCTTTTAGTTGTCGATGAAAACGTTCTACCAACCCGTTTGCTTGTGGGTGGTAGGCGGTCGTTCGGAAGCGCGTGATTCCTAATAATGAGGTCAGACAACGGAAAAGTCCAGATTCGAACTGGCGTAGTGATCGTGGAAGGGCAGCCAAAATTTGCTACCCATCGTTCGACGAAAGCGCGAGACACTGTTTCAGCAGTAATGTAGAAGGGGTTTTGTGGAGATTTCAGTATTTTTCAAAGTTGAAATCATGAGTCAATTGAAGCTGGACCACCATCGAAAACCTGGAAGCACTGGACGGCCATTTCGTCCTACTATGGGACTCCTCAGCAGTGCGCATCCACGAACACACTCTCGCGGGATTCGAACCCAGGACCTACCAGTTTCGAGCCGAAGCCCTTAACCGATAGACCACTTCAAGACTTCAAGACACATGTCCTGGAGTTCTAGTGGGAAGCAGTGACCAGTGGAGTTCAACCACGTCCGTTGTGAGATATCAACTCACTGAAGACAATTGGTGAATGGTTGCTCAACTTCGTGGATCAGTTGAAGTTAGACATTAACACCGTTGGATGCCAGCTCAGTGGTCTATCGGTTAAGGGCTTCGGCTCGGAACTGGTGGTTCCTGGGTTCGAATCCCGCGAGAGTGTGTTCGTGGATGCGCACTGCTGAGGAGTCCCATAGTAGGACGAAATGGCCGTCCAGTGCTTCCAGGTTTTCGATGGTGGTCCAGCTTCAATTGACTCATGATTTCAGCAGTAATGTCCTTAATCGGTACTGCTTCTGGCCATCGAATAAAACGGTCTTCGCATGTTAAGAGACATGAGTATTCGTTTGAGTCGGGTAAGGGTCCTACCAAATCTAGATGGACGTGGTCGAAATGAGCGTCAGGGCGTTTGAAAGAGCCTAAGGGACATTTGTTGTGTCTGATCACCTTAGATTTCTGACAGCTTACACAGGAGCGTGCCCACTCCCTCACGTCTTTATTCATGCCAGGCCAGCAAAACCGTTCGACTATAAGTTTGACTGTTGCACGAGCACCTGGATGAGAAAGATTGTGCAACGTATTGAAGACGTTGCGTCGATAATGTTTTGGTACTATTGGACGATCCCTACCTGTAGATGTGTCACAAAGTAAGGTTTTCTTACCTGTTCCCATCTGCCTAATACTTAGTTTAAGAGTTGTCGAGCATAACTCGTGCTGAAGATCAATGTCTTCTTTTTGAAGCTGAGCGAGTTTAAGAAGGTCGATTCCCTGGAAACTTTTCAAGGAACTTATTCGAGACAAGGCGTCTGCGACTACATTGTTTGCTCCAGAAATGCGTTGTATATCTAAAGTAAACTGCGAGGTGTAGTCGAGTTGTCGAGACTCTCGCGGTGAGTACTTGTCTGAAAATGAACTTAAGGAGAAAGTAAGAGGTTTGTGATCGGTTAAAAGCGTGAATTCTCTTCCTTCGATGGAATGTTGAAAATGCCGTACAGCACAATACATAGCTAGGAGTTTCCTACCGAACGTGCTGTACCTAGATTCCACGTCTAGCAAACGTCTCGAGAAAAATCCTAAAGGTTGCCAAGAGTCGTTAACCCATTGTTGTAGGACTCCTCCGATTGCTGAGTCGGATGCGTCTACGGCGATACTAATGGGCGCTTGAGTGTCCTGATGAGCAAGCAATGTTGCCTTAGCGATATGTTCCTTAACTGTGGAGAATGCTTCACGGGCTGTGTCGTTTAAACTAATGGATTTTGCATTTCCACGAAGCTGGTCGGTTAACAGTTTCATAAGGGATGCGCATTTGGGTATGAACCGTCTGTAGAAACTTACAAGTCCGTTAAATGTTCGTAACTGCTTGATCGTAGTCGGTTCTGGGTAATCCAGAATGGCCGCCACTTTGCTTCTAAGGGGTCGGATGCCTTGGGCATCAGTAGTGTGTCCTAAGAAGTCTAAGGAGTCGATTCCGATTTGGCATTTCTGAATGTTGACAGTAATGCCATGCCTTTGGAGTCGATCGAAAACAATGTCCAGATGCTTGAGATGCGATTCTCTGTCTGGACTTGCTATTAGACAGTCATCAACATACGCATGTACGAAGTTGAGACCTCGAAAGACGTCGTCTATAAACCTTTGGAAGGTTTGAGCCGCATTTCTTAAACCAAAAGGCATTCGCAAGAATTCGTAAAGACCGAAAGGAGTGATGACGGCGGTTTTAGGAATGTCGTCAGGTGCCATCGGGATTTGGTTAAAAGCCTTAACTAAGTCGATTTTCGAAAAGACAGTTGTACCTTTCAAGGTAGCTGTCAAATTGTGAACATGAGGCAATGGGTAACGATCGAGAATGGTTTTAGCAATCAGACGCCGATAGTCACCAGTTGGTCGCCAATCGTTGCTGCCCTTTTGAGGGACCATGTGCAATGGGCATGACCATGGACTATTAGATGGTCGAATTTTCCCTAAGTCTATCATGTGGTCGAATTCGTTTTTAGCTAACCTAAGTTTTTCGGGGGCGAGTCGACGGGCTTTCGAGAATACAGGTGGTCCTGTAGTCGAGATGTGATGTGTGACATTGCTGGTTACAAAAGGCAATTTCGATTGCGGTTGGTATATCCCTGAGTATTTGTCCAGTAATGATTGACACAGGGAGTCTATGGTGTGCTTGATTGTGACTGGGGATAACCTGCAACCAGAACAAGGAGTTACGCAAACGGATAACTTAGTGTTCCCGTCTATTAACCTTCGTGAGTGGGTCTCGATCAGTAGATTGTGGTATTGTAACAGGTCTATACCAATGATTGACATAGAGACGTCTGCAATAATGAAAATCCAGTGTATGGGTTTGCGTAAACCCACGTTAAGGTAGTCGTACCTTTTACCGTAAGTAGCGATCGGCTTTCCGTTTGCCGTCTGTAAACTTAAAACAGACACACGAAGTCTGTCGCCGGGATTTGCTGGAAGAACGCTAACTTCTGCGCCAGTGTCGACAAGGTAGCGAACTTTCGTAGTCACACCCGCGACGTATAACAGACGGCTGTGTTCGCCGGCTACGGTCGCCGTTAATGCGTGCCGGCTGGGAAGTTTCCCGAACTGTTTTTCGTGTCATTCGATTTTGAGATCGGATAATTGCAGGGTTTCTAGCAATTTCTGGAAGACTTACCGTACTGGTTATGATACCAGCACCAGTCGGAATTGTCTGTCTCTCGTGGTCGAGAGACAGATCGCCTACGTGAGACACTTCTACGCGGGGTTTTTGACCGACTACGGTCATTACGAACTCTAAGATATCGTGTAAGCGTGTGACATAGTTCATCAATGTCCGTCGGGGTCGATTGAGGTTTTTCCTTGACGGAAAAAACCTCGGCTTTAGAAGATTTAGTGATTTCTAAGATTCGGTCGGCAGATGCAGCTAGCTCGTCTATGGCGTTGTTTTGAAACGAGACGAGCACTATCTGCACCTGTTGAGGAACTTTAGACAAGAAAAAATGTCTGAATAAGCCATCATCGAAAGTTCGTTGGCCGATAACCTCTCTCATTCTTAGCAACATGTCTGTCGCAGAACCGTGTTGCAAGTCGATGTTATGGAGGAGTTGGTCTAACCGTTGTCGGTCGGTTAGGTATCCACGTTTTAGAATCGAACATTTGAGAGTTTCGTAAGGTTCGAGAACATCACTAGTAAACATACTATGTGTTACGTACCTGTTAAACTCGCGCGGTAACGCCTTAACTACCGCGAGGAATCGTGTGCGCGAGTCCGTGATTCCGTGCATGCAAAAATCAGCTTCTGCGTAGCAGAACCAGGACTCGATATTGTCGAGCCAAAATGGCGTTAACTGAATCGGAATAGACTTTAACTTAAAAACCTTAGGTGAGTGTTCCGTCATAGTAATATAAGGAACGAAAAATGTCTAATTAAAATATATCCGGGAAAAACTCGCGAAAAAAAGTTTATCACAATATATAAAAATTAAATAAAGAATAACAATGAATAATAATATTCCAAAAAGGAACAGACTCACAATATATTGGCTTGGTGTACCAGATCACGTCGGGCTCACCACTGAAGATACGACGGATATTCTAGTTTAACAACTAGCTACCAGTAGCACCTTCTATAATCGAAACCCTTTTGGCCAAATGGAAACCAGAAGTCAGACGAGAAGAGGTAGGAAAGATATATTTGATACGTTATCAATATATCGAGGAACATTTATTATAAGCTGGCTAATGAACGCAGGAGCAGTGTCCCACGCCGAGTTGAAACGTGATCTGGTAGGGACGCATGACTGAAAGCCTTCAGTTAAACAAGTCCACTTAAACAACGTGGTCAGCATCCAATGTCGAACACTTAATGAGCTATTGATTTTGGGGATTTATTTACAGCTACAAGTTTTTGGCTCAGCTGTCTGTTTATGTTTTAGTACTGATATTATTTCACGTGCATTTTGTTCTCTAGTACTAGAGTCTTTTGACTTGGTACTAAATCCATTACTTTCGTCTCGTGCGTATTATGAGACTGTAAGGCTTTTGTTGCAGGCTTACAAGAAAAATAATGAGTAACTCGGGCAGTTGACTGAAATTGCCATTGGAGTAAATCCGCCTAGGAGATACGAACAAATCCTCAGCTCATTTAAACGCTCACTAGTCACAACTGCCCAATAGTGGGTGTTGATCCAGCCAATTATTCAATCAATAATTCTTCATTAAATATCGTTTGCATTATATCATTTTGTTTACGTTACAATATGTCTGGCCTCTACACAGGATGTATTCACTTGTGGCGATGCCAAATAAACCTCTTAGCCAAACTTATCAAGTGTGGTTGCTGAAATAGTGGCATCCTATGATATCAATAGAAGATTTTGAAGGGAGCTGTCGAGAGACATTGGACAATCGTACGTACAGTGAGTATTGAATGTTGGTTGTCCTTACTGTGGATTTAAGTATTTGAGGTTGAGATTTTTCTCCGTTACTGCGGATGTACATTTGCTAAGAAAAGGTAAGTGTAGGTTTAAATAATCAGTGATTTCCACTGTTAATTACGTCTAATTTGTAACTCCTGTCTGTGGAACTATGATTTGAGTTAAATTCTGTCGAAATCCTACTATCAACTATAGCTACCCGACAAATTGGATTTTGGTGATAAACTTTGAGCCAACATATTTCCAGTACCAAAAGTGAAAAAATGGGCTAGACAGTGCTAGAGTAAAAAACTGCTTATGGGCTTTGGAAATTCTCTTAGCATTTTAGTCGTTCTCACGTGTTTGTGCTTCAGTCAATTCTTATTCTCTTTGGTTGTCGGTGGCTCAGTCGGTTTTAGACACAGACTATTGTGACTACTTGATATGTGTTAACCTTAGTGTCATCATGTAGACTGTGTCATTCTATGCTATTTTTACGTGCTAATTAGTGTTTGTATTATTTATTTTGAGCGATATTGAGTTAGTACGTGGAAAACCCAAGTTGACCTTGGTAACCAGGATATCTTTCGTCTACTCAGCTGCGAAAACTTATTACAGTCCAATCACAGTAATTAGAATATCTCCTGTTTTGTTTTTAAATTTCCTGTGTAGTGGAGTGTGGGTTTTCTTCTGTGGTCCACATGACAAACTATGTATAGCTTTGGGTGTAGTAAGAATCCGATCGATGATATGTTGTGTCAGGCTTTATGTCCTCTTTTTTTACATGTCTCACTAGATGAGTTATTCTCTTTTGGAAAAAGATTGTAGAATGTTTTTCTGCAGCTGATTCTTGTCATGTGGGATATTATAACAGTTTAGGTATTCAGATAAATACGCAGTCTCAAGGCTAATCATTCTTTACGTTCATACCACATAACCCTGACAAATCTAATCTTTGTTTCCTCGTTGTTAATTGCCTGTCGTGGACCAGTAAATATGCCATGCTCTCGTCATTTATTAGGTTGAATCGTTTACTGAAGTAATGATTCAGTTGGATCAGCGTAACGAAAGCCACTCGTCTGATCAGTGAGTAGTTAATATAAAGGCCAATATTTTCCGTTTTCTCGTCCCCAGCTAGGTAGAATTAATGGCATATCATTGCCAGCTATGTGTTTCTTATTTTGGCTAGCCAGAACACATAAACGAGCTTTTGTGTTAACTTCGGTCGCGTTACACTATTTTATATATTGTATTACTGTTTTTTCTTGTATTTTTATTATTCCTTATTTTTTTTTGTGAATTTCCATTGTGAACCAAAGACAAAATCTTATTTTGGATAAAAGCGGCGCAGAATCTTTAGTGAAGAAGTCACAAGCCAGTAGTGATAATGGAGTAACTTTGTACCTCAAAATGATGCAAACTTTTATATCACAACGAATTTGCTTCGGTTGTTCAATTCTCTTATTCTTGCTGGGATCAATATTTTTATATGTACATATCTCCCGTTCTCAAAATATCCCGAATTTTTTGCGTAAACTCCCATATAATGTGACAGTTTTTGGAAATTCTGTAAGTATCGGTGTTTCTAAATTTGCTTTCTAACTTAAAATATCCGTAATATAAACTTCATAAAATTGTATCAATTAGGTCAGTAAACTTTTATGCAGTAAAAGCTATCAATGTAGATTGGTTTTAATGTGTGTTGTAGTAATGTTTATATATTAACAACATGTTTGAGGCAGTTAATCATCAGGTTTTAGTTTTCGCACAAGTGTTCACAATTATCTGTCACATAAGGTTTACTAAACTTGAAACTGTTATTTTGTTAGTGCTGACAAAGTGCCCCAGTTCAAATTCCCAATGAGTTCTAAATCTTTATACTAGGTTTCTATACGTTTTAGGTTGTTTCACAACAACAAGAATGCCCAAGAGAAAATCCTCACGCTAGTAAGTTTGATCCCTAATTTTCCTCATATTTTATTTTACACCAAATTTACGATGCTCTTGATTAGTAAGAAAAGTTTGGAATTTTTGTATTCGAATCATAGCTAAAGCTTGTTGACTTCCCTTGACTACATTGTTAGAAAGCTTGAAACTCCATATACTACGGCTGTGATTAATTAGTTCTAAGGTCAGTTCAAACATATCAGTTCATCAGTCATACAGAACGTAAAACTTGGTACATGAGCACATCGGTTGAAGTTGCCACTACATCAGCACGTCAATGTGCTATAGTATAAATAGTAACAATATTAGTGTTAATAGAAAGTGTTGGGCATAAAATATAGGACTCGATTCTCTAACAATTAATTATGATAATCACGCGGACCCTGGTCATGTAGGCTGCACTTACCTATAATATTCAGTTCACTAGTCGATGTCTTCATGGACCGATCCCACACTTCAATCTCAGCCCCTAGCTTTCTTCTAAACTACCCCTACATTAACTATCATCAAAATGGTGACATAAGGTGGTTGATCATACATAATACACGTTCCAACTATCCCAGTCGATGAATATTTACAAGCTAGTTGATCAACTTGCCACCTTGCTTGGTACTTTGTGTCTCACCTCAGCATCACTCCGGTGGTCAAAACATACGTGAGAAATGCTTTGAAGGCATGTACGATTAAATACTGGTAACCTACTGACACCATCTATTTCAAAAACCGCATTTCACAGATGTGAAGTAAAATTGAGCGAACTACTGCACAGTATCTTCACCCTTTGGTTGATAAACGAACATCTCGTCTATGGATCAAGTGGTAATAACCAATGGAGCTCTCTGAATCCGTTCTGAGATTTCGTCAGACACCAACCTACCGAGGCTGATGAAACTCATATGATAAGTCCAATGGTTGACGTGCCTAGTTACTTCATTCCTTATCATTAGTTGAGAGTTTGAAGGAGACTAGTCATGGAGCAGCATTTAGAGAGAAAGAAACGCCTCTCAAATATTAGAGTCAGATTATTAGTCTTCATCGATTAACTTTATTATCTATCGATTTCTTTTCTGTCATGTCTATGTACATGGTACATCAAACCGTTAGACTTTCCCAAGTTTCTACGTTGTGCCTGTCTTTTAGTCACTTGGTCAAACTAGTGGCTTTGGTACCAGATGTAATATCCTTTAAAATGAAGAGAATATCCTATTAATTTCTTGTGTGCTTTAACTATCGGTTTTAATCGTCTCCCTCTATATTTTCAGCACTCAGTTGGGAGTGATTTGTGTTAGGTCTATCAACTCAAATACATATCTGGTGTCTTGTATTGTTATACATCGCATACTCCCAATGTGATTTCGCTGTTGGATTTGATAATTTTCTGAGTTTCAGCCGGAGCTGTGAAGTGTCCAAAAATCGTTGATATTTATCTACTACTTGCTGAATTTGATTTATCTTATTGCTTATTTAAAATATCCATGAGTGGTAGTATTGCTGTTCCCTGTTATTTAACAAAGAATAAGTGTTTATTTTGTCACGTTTTTGTTTTAATTTGTTTGTCACCTCAGCTTTTTTCATGATTCCCAACAATCCATCCTTTTGTTATCACTAGTTGGGCGTTTAAAAATCGAGACTAATGTACCTACTTGGGATTCCTTAGTCGAGAAATATGCATCATCATCCCCTCAACGTAAAATTATCCTTTCAAAAGGTGGCAACTATTCATATCCCAGTTTAAATCCTGTCGTGATTCCCGATGAATCTATTAATTCCCACAATTACACTGATTCATTGAAGAAATATGTCGGATTGTGGCGTCCAATTGTCTGTGATCCAACTGAAAATCTGGCTATTATTGTCCCGTACCGAAATCGTGATATTCATTTGCGTATGTTTTTAGAACATATGCATGCTTTTCTACGTAAACAACTGCTTATGTATACCATTTTTATTATAAATCAAGTTAGTTATTATTTTTAGATATGCTTTCAGTTTTCTTTTCAACCCTTTTCAGAACTTTCAACTATATTTTTCAACCATTCTTGTCATGGTAATGTAGTTTTGAGTCATTTAGCGCATATATTGTCTCAAGTTGGAACTCTACACTAAAAGTCACGGTTAATGTGTATGCTACATATTTTCAGTGCATTTACAAAATCTATCCGATGTTATTCATGATATTTGGGTTCATTTCCTTGTACTCGAAGACATTTCTGTCAGGTTTAATGATAATACCCAGTTGTCTTGACCAAAGTAGTTGGAGCAGGGATTACACTTGCTACGCAATGGTTAACACTCAAGAGTAACTACCAATTTATGCTTCTTGCTCCAAAAGTGGGTTTTGACATCGGTTGGATCATAGTTTCGTTAAATGTACAGCAAAATTGATGAGGAAAGGCAAGATGATCATTCTTAACACCCATATTTAAGGTTTCGGTAACAAGGATGTTTCTGTGTTGTGTTTTGTAAATTCTCATCTTATGTTCTTTTTCTTGCTTTACGGTCCATTTTCTGTTCCTGCAAGATTGTAGTTTTTTTCCCATAAAGATATTGTGTTCTGTGGTTGTTAATAGGGATAGTAGTATATTACTTTTACTAACCTAAAACTGTGTAAATAAGTTAATTATATTGATCGTCGTCCTTGATATTTACGAAACATGCACTCAAATAGTACATTGTTACTGAAAGCAGAGTTCTGATATCATCTACTAGGTCATTTGTTTGACATGAATGACTATAGATTGCCATAAAATCAACTTCTTACCAGCAGTGTCGTAGCAGTATATGAATCATCAGCATCTTCCTTACTTATTTAGCGCTCAAATAACAATGGAGTTTCTTTATGTATGGTTCACCTCACTTTCAATAGACGTTTTTAGGTGTTAAAACAAAGTAACCATGAGGACTTTACCATTTTTCACTCAAGGCTGTTTACATGTGTGATTCTATTATGGAGATTAATCATGAAATAACCAGGGTTGTAGTACTCTTAAAGTCGCCATTTTCTACTTATAAATACATGTTTAGGCTGGTAAAACTCATTTCAACCGCGCCCTCCTTCTGAATGTTGGGTTTATCGAATCGAAGCGGGTTACGAATTTCGATTGCTTCATATTTCATGATGTGGATTTATTGCCTGAAGACGATCGAAATTCATATCGTTGTGGCGACCAACCGAGACACCTATCTGTTGCTGTGGACAAGTTTAACTACCGGTCAGTGCCTATATTTGAACTCCTAGACTTTTAAATTATTGAATTTGTCCATGTGGTAACATTCTTCTCCGATAAATAAGATAGTTGATTCAATACTTTAGTCTAGGAAGTCATATCCTGTGAATTAGGACAGTTTATATGTCTAACGGACTTCTAAATAAACTTTTTATTTATATAACTTTTACATTGTTAGACTTCGCTCAAGGAATTATCAGCTTTCTACCTCGTTGCCGTGAATTGTTGGAACCCACTTATTTAAGAATCTAACTAGAATGTAGTCCACCCACCATCTGTATTTCAGCTATGAGTTAGATATTGTATTAACGAAGTCAATAGGTAAATGCATTCGTGGACAGTCCGAAATAGATCGCCATACTTCAACTCAGATTCACACTTGAGTTCTGTAGACTATTATTTCAGCGTAAGTAGTAGTCTATCTATAAGGACCATCCAGCATGTAATAAAATGATGGTACAAACAAGCATAAAAGTAGTGATTCCTTAAAAGCGAAGTGTAAATTTATTTAATAAGTTGAAACACTTATATTCCTTAAAAAACATGAGGACCAGACAGTCTACTGCTGGATTTACTATGGTATACAACAGCAACTTAAATTCCATACATAGATTTATCCATGCACCATGTTACCTTATCAATGCGGTATCAATTTTAGTGGTTATATAAACTGCTCTATTACTTCGAAATAACTGCATTATGGTAGACAACTGTCGTCCCGGAAAACTGAATCAAAGTTGTAGGGTCTTTTCCCATTCTGTAACCAAGATTCTTCCGCTGAAATCCTGAAACTTATAATTTCCAAGAGTTTAGAAAACTGTGACCCATTTTACTACTATCTTAGTTTAGGGGTAACTGGAATATATCTAGTTTTTGGCTAAGCGGATACCTTTTTCGTGACAAATAAGAATCAAGCATGTTCCTTTGTGTGTGTTGTTTGTTGTCTTCTCAATAAATCTCCCCAACAATTTTGCCAGACAACTTTATTTACATTTTTTTAGTCTTCCTTATCTTAATATTTTTGGCGGAGCTGTGGCGTTCACCAAGGAACAGTTTGTAAAGGTTGGTGGGTTTTCAAATATGTATTTTGGATGGGGTGGAGAAGATGACGATTTATACGCTAGAGTAGTTTATCATAATTACAGCATTATGCGTTACCCTGAAGAAATCTCTCGTTACAAAATGATTAGTCATAAGAAAGATCCAGATAATCCGGACAATCCTAAACGGTATGTCTTTCCCAATCCTCATACTTAAGAATTTGTGTTTGTAATATACACTTGCTCATTGTTGTTTTTCATCTAAGATATTTAAAATAATCTATTAGGTCTGATAACCCGACTTATTTGTGAGTATCACACAGTATTGATAGTAACATCAGTTCACAGGTAATTAAATTTATCATCCAATATCTACCATTTTTATATAAAATCCAGTCTTTTATTTCTTTGCGTGCCCGTTTCCATACATAAATGGTGGTGTTTGTAGATCGACCAACTAAGTATTCCAGGCCATTGATAGATTGTAGCTGACAATGACCGATTATATTTAGTAACTGCTCCCCAGATATGTGACCTGCTAACTGGCCCCATAAGGCATTTCGAAAAGACCATATATCTTCTCAATATCAGGTCCATTTGTCATTTGGATTAATACCTGAATTATTATTATTACAGAACTTTATATTGACAATACCCTGCTCGAAAGCCTGATATCATCTGATTATTCGTCCCACAAAATTACAAACTACATGTTTTAAATGCTAATGTTGGGTGCTAACAACTTAGTACGTTGGTTATTGTAAAGATTCAGAGAAGTATTTAGTGTTTCTGCCATGGAATTTCGATAAAAGTGGTCAAATATGATCAACTTGAATGACAAATGTTCTTCGGTACACTTACCTTTGTATAATTAGTGATTACAACCCATTAATTTTATCGTTTTCGTGTTTTTGGCAATGGATTTTGTGGATTCTCATTAGTTATTAACCGATTCGTTTGGTTGTAGCTAGTGATCGTTTATTCTGGTTTATTATGTAGGGTATTTTAAATAGAATGAAATTGGTAACTTGTAAAGAGTCTTATTTTCGCAACCGGTTCATGCCGTTCATTATATCATTGTGAAGTAACGGTATGGAAAAATTGAAACAAACCTCATATTCATAAGCTGGACCATTCGCTGTGTAATATTGTAGGGGTCCAACATAGAATATTCGTTGTAAATTTCAAAATTACATTTTTACCTCTTTCATTCTATTCTTGTGGAAACATCCTTTTTTGATGGAATACTCAGACTTCAAGGGTCTTATTCGATTGTCTAAATCTTCATGCTGACGTAGAAAAATGAAATGTCCAACAGTTTTGTGCAAATAGTTTCCATTTATGTGTTTTACACTTGGTGATATTCATTGGTTTTACGGTTTTTGTTATTATTGTTGACTTACTGATAAGCTGGGTAGATATAATTACATATGCTTTCAAATTTGTAAACGTGCTTGTAATCTCAGGCGTCACTGGACTCATCAACTAGTGGAATGAAATGGATGGATTTTGTGCACATTATATTTGATCGAATTAAAGAACAAGTATGTCAACAGAACTTTTTTGAAACTCAGTCGCTGCATACAATAGGATCACTACACAAGGCTCCAGTGGACGGATTCTCTAAAAACAGTATGTTTTCTAGCAAAATGAAATGTAATCAAATATAGAAATTCGTCATGAAAACTTCCATTCTCCATTTAGAAAGCACCTTTCATGTTTATACTGAAACACCTGTGGCTTAAGGAAATAGCCTAGCGAGTACTGATATGCAGTTGTTTTAGTTACTAACTACAATTCTCAACGATATGTTTTAAATTAACAAAAAAAACATTGTGAAAAGAGAAGTGAACTCTTTGTCTCTACACGTTATCTCACTTATTCTACTGCTAGGTTTTTAAAAGTAATAAACATTAAATTATTACCTAATTTTTCTGGTACCCATACGTTAAATACTTCCAAAAAGATTTCATGTAACCAGATAATAAGTTCACTGGACTGTACCTGTATATGGTGAATAGATGCTTACCCCTGTTACCTATAAAGTATTGCACCTTTGCCTAAATCTAGAAATGTATATTTCCTCCTGTCACTTCATTGGATTACAAGCTAAATTACTAAATAGGTAGTAAGTTTACAAAATGAAAGCAGGTTTTTGTAAAATAAATCTCTCCCTTTTAAGCATTTAATGTTCATTGCCTGATTTATTACTTCTTTTAACTGCGTAGTACCTTGTCTTATTATTTGGGATTTTAATATCATCACATCAAATAAATATTTATTTTATGAAGGTCTATTAGAATATGATTGTGAACAATTTCAACTAATTGCGTAAAAACTAAGTAAATCAGCCTTGGTAATATACAGACAAGTCACACATACAATTTTAATCAGGCAACAATCTGGAAAATCTGTTTTCAATCCACGAACGGTGTTTCTTGTAATTGTTACGAGGTGTTTCATAAACGTTCATAAAATCGAACCTAATGACTGACTTTATGAATTGTATGCACTCAGCTATTGGCCCTGCGAAGTAGATTTGTTGTGCAAAGCTTGAACTTTGACAAATACATATCCATTTTAATAATTACGTACTATCTTTGCACCACAACTACCGTATGTTAGTCATATTGCCCACCTACTGAAGCTTTAATAAGTAATACCTTCTCTAAAAACATGTGCTTAAACCACCAATTTTTGATTTAACCTATTCGGAGTACTTTTCTAGGAGTATCATGATCTTTGTAACTGCAGTCATAGGGTATTTTCTCTATTGTTTTTTATGTGTCCTTGTGTATTTTTCTTTACACAGTAACGAACTTCTGAAGAATGCATCAAGTCGCTTTCAAACAGATGGTTATTGGAATGCGAATTATACGCTACTGGAGTCCTACCCTGCTTACAATGGCCTGTTTTATTGGGTGTCGATTAGTCCATAAGTGGGTGAGAAGATTTAGCACATTCTGATTATTTGTTTTGTAAGTCAAATTCTTTTAGATCTTATCTACAATCTAATATTAAACTAAACTGGTCATCATACTTTTAACTCGAAAAGTAATAATAATAATATATTCTGAAAATAATATTTACAGAATTCACACCAGTTTACAGGCATGATCAGATTGATATAAAAATCAACATTTAATGTAGAGAGCAAACATGAAATATAAGAAAGTTTTATGTTTGCTGGTTCAGTAATTGTTAAGTAGTTTATTTATGACATGTATCACGGCAAGCCAATGCAACATCAGGGAACTTGTCATTTTTTCTTAAGTGGATAGCCTGATGATTAGTCAACGTTGTTCTGTAAGGTTATTTCTAGTGCCAGAGCGAGTTATTGATAATTATCTACAACTAGAGAAAGTAAGAGAAAGAGCACGGAACAACAAAACAATGATAGCAAGTAAGAGGTTAAACACTTAAAGTTTCGATAATCTCACTTGTGGAGTAAGATACACTTGCAGGCACTAGAGCATTTAATGCATTTTCAGAGGAGCAAAAGGCATTAATTGAGCGAACAAACAATGGGAGGGAGTTTAACATACGGATAGTTTGAGGTAGATTATTCCAGAGCCTAGAAAACTTACAGGTAAAGTAATTCATATAGAGAGAAGATCTAGAATATGTTTGTTTCGCTAAAGACAAGGAGTTACGAATGTCGTAATGTGAGGCTTTAGCATATTGAATCGCCTGGCTGGATGTGAAGGAGAATTTGTTAAGTATTTTGAAAAAGAAGATAAGGTTAAGTTTGAGTCTCTTCTTCCATAAAGGGTCAAGCCCTAGTTTACTACACCTCGAATTATATGTCAAGACAATATCAGTTCCAAGAGTACGAAGTGTAAATCGTCTCTGTACTGATTCCAGTCTTAATTTATCCTTTATGCGCGTGCTACTAAGGAGAAACGCTCAGTATTCGAGGAGTGGTCGAACACAGACTTTGTACATTAGAATACGAGATTCGCTGTTATGAAGGTTTCGAGTTACGTAACCTATAAGGCGTTGAGACTTGGACGTTTGTTTCATTATCTGCTCAGTAAACGACAAGTCGTCGGAGTACCTAAGTCCTAGATCTACTACTGTGTGTAACCTAGATAACATTTCACCATTTATGGTAAGATCGAGGTTGAGTGATGTATCACCGAAGCATAACCATCCACATTTAGCTGTATTAAGCTCCAGTTACCATTTCGAGCACCACTGTGCTACCTTGTTAAGCTCCATGCTGATACAATTTTGAATATTGCTCAGCTCATGTGGAGAAAATGAGTACACCACCTTAAGATCGTCTGCATACAAAAGGGACTTACCCTCACTAAAACACTCATAAATATCATTAATGAAAACTAAAAAGAGCAAAGGACCTAAGACACTACCCTGAATTACCCCACTTCTAACAGGGACGGCATTCGACAATGAAGAGTTGATTTTAACTATTTGATGTCGATTGCTGAGGAAGGAATCAAACCAGGCTAGTAACGGGTTTTGGACCCCATAAGATGCGAGTTTACCTATGAGAAGTTGGTGGTTGACCATGTCGAAGGCCTTAGAAATGTCCAGGTATAGCACTAATACTAGATATCCTTGGCTACGAAGCGAATAGACTAAGTTAAAGAAGTCAAAATGACATGTCATACAGGATCGATTTTTAAGAAATCCATGTTGCGAATCGTCAATAAATTGTTCAGTCAATAAATAGTTGGATAGTTCGTCACTAATAATTGTTTCCATAATCCTAGAGATAACTGGAGTAATATTTATTGGCCGATAGTTGTTCATGTCAGTCTTATCACCGGATTTGTAACGTGGTATGATGTACGCGGTTTTCCAACGGTCAGGATAAAAGCCTGATTCCATAGAGAGAGTAAATGCTCAACACATTTGTTAAGATAACCAAAATCTTAAACCTATATTTTTACTTTGGATGATTTTTAGTGCGCAGTAAAGGTGTACGTGTGTAAGGGTTTGAGTCTTCTCGTTGTTGATATTAAGTGTACGAACCACTAAGTTATTCTGTCTGTTTGCGAATAATCTCTGACTTTTCATAAGTATGGTTAGTTTTTCTGAAATCTAAGTTTCTAATTTTACAGATTTATGTCGTCCTCAGTTAACTGTTTCTTGATTGAAAGACACTTTTCGTATGTATGTAGAAGGGGTTGTTTGTTTTTGATGTTTTTGACCCAGAATTTTGTAATTCGAGCTTTAAATGTTGGATATAATGCGCTTTGGTTTGGTTCTGAGCTTCTCACTTTACGACTGTAACTTTACCAACAAATTCAGAGTCTTACTATTATATTGTGTTAATTATTTTTTTTAGAATTTTACTTATTCTGTAGTAAGATGTCGTTGAACAGTCCATTCGAAGTTCCTTTTCATTTGATATTTAAGCATGGACTAAACTCTTTCTTCAGGTTAAATAGCTGATTTTGTTTTTGTTTCTTAAACTACTCACACATTTAATTAAAACCTCGTACTTTTTCCCATTATTTTCCGTCATTTAGGTCACAGATTACTCCGTATACCAAGATCACATCGTCCACAAAATTCCCTATAATTTTTCTACTCAATGACCTTTCCTACTGGCACTTTCATTTTGTTCAGTTTCCATAATATTTACCAACTATTTTTTCTGTTACGTTTATGTTTATTCTACATTTTGTATATTTTACACAAAATGATGTTGTTTTTTTCCACGCCTAATTTCTGGATTTATAATTTCTTTAGACAAATTCGACGACCTGTAAACGCTGCTTAGTTAAAAAAAGCGTGTTGTAATTGATTACGTTTATAATTTATTGTTAGTTCCATTGATAAAAAAGTATTTACTGTTCAATTTTAAAGATTTTAATTGTATGCCATAGCAACAGGAACATTGCGAAAAGATCTTTTCCCATGATAGTTTTAAAAAATAAATTCGATTGTCAGATAAAACTAAATACTTCATAAATTTGTTTCTGTTACATGTGTAGTAGTAGAATTTTTCTTTGATAGATTCATATTATCAACTTAACCAGTCAAAACTTGTAATTGGCGATTTGATCGAAAACATTGAAAAACCAATTGGTCAAATGTAAGTCAGTTGGTAGTAATATCACTAAGCATAAACTTGTTAATTTATTGCAAACAATTAGTATTCAATATTTCTGATGTTTAAAAATATCAACGTTGGATTCAGGAAGAAATCTGAACAAGATTGATGGTCTTTAATATTAGTTCGTCGTTTAAAATAAGTTATCTTGCAGTTAGGATGTGAATTTACTCAAGACCCTTGCTTCTTCTACACAGGTTCAAATTAAAGACTCGTATAAATGTTCACTTAGCTTCCTAAGATATGGTTCTTGCTCAAAATTAACTCAAATTCAACTCTATCTAATACGCTTAACATAAAATATAACAATGTCAGGCTTCCTTCAGTGCAAATAGCGTATTTTTATCATGTATTATCTTATCACAGGTAAATGGGTTAACTAACCTTAGCAATTACTAGCAAAACCACCGTATAAATATCCATACAAATACATAAGAATAATAAAAGTAATGATATATGTATAATATCTGAGAGTTATCAGAAGGTGTTTTGTAGAGATTTTAGTAATTTTATAGTTTTATTCATGAGTCAAGTGAAGCTAGACCACCATCGAAAACCTAGAAGCACTGGACGGCCGTTTTGTCTTATTGTGGGACTCCTCAGCAGTGCTCATCCACGACCCCGCCTCGCGGTATTCGAACCCAGGACCTATCAGTCTTGCGCGCAAGCGCTTAACCTCAGGGATATGTATTATAGAAACTTTACTCACATCTAATGAAATGAAAATATTCGAGAAGTAATAATTATTGTATCTTAATTGAGCATTAAAAATATTCAGTATTTATCTATAGTTTCGCTTAATTTCAATCATAACTTGACTAGCTATTCTACTACTGTATATATTAGGTTACTATCAAGTTAACCAGGTCTAACTTATCATGTCATGTCACCATGATAATCAGTGGATAATTTGCACTTTATCGATCAGTGTACTATGACTGACAGTAATGAAAATTTGTGGCGCAGATGTGTGATTTTGATGACGTTTTGTTCCCTGAGCTAGATGGCTTGGTCGTGGAGCTTTCATTTTTCTTCTGAACGACATCATCAGCACAAACTTTAAGTAGAAGTCAAGTGTTAGAATTTCTCCACATATATGGAAAATCATGAAAGTTCCACAACCAAACCATCCAGCTCAGAGAAAAATACTCCACCGAAGTAATGATTAGGCCATATTTCATAATGCTGAGCCTTATAAAAGCATCATGAAATACGAGTCAGATTTTGTTTACAGCTATTTGAATAAGTTCTGTAGTACATTAATGAGATTATGGAAGAACTTATGGTAAACTTGCATTCAATTATAAGCATAGTACATGAGAACATTAAATTCAATATGTTTTGGTGCGTAACAGAGTACTGATAATGATGATTAAACTTGTGACTGGTGAGCACAGGTGAGATTGTTACACTTTTCTTTCCCATTGCTTTCTCGTTTAGGATTTCTATCATCTTTAGATGTGACGTCAGTACTGCTATCAATAGTGTGACATTTAAATCAAGTAAAGACACTTGACCACTTATCCAAACCTTTGTTGATCATCACTCCATTTTCCCAGACTTTAATGACATACTAATAATGATGTAACTAATGTTATTTCCTAAAATGAGAAGTAACTTTTTGTATTATTAATTTTAACAAATTGATTAGGTGTTTATTAAATCAAACTCTTGGTATTTCAGTGTTTATGGTTATCTTTGTGGATTAAGCTATTCTTCACTGAAGTCCTGATAACAGATTTTTGAACGTCATGGGTTATTTGATATTTATCGAAATCCGTCTAACAAACTGACATGAAGGTGGTCTAACATTGATCCATTCATAATATCAATCTAAACTCAATCTCCACAGCACTGTACGGATAATAATTTATTGTTTAATTTACTGAAACAAATATTGGTACATGGGGGCACCAGATATATATGCCCCACACAAAACAATGAGAATGGGAAGAGAAAAAGGAGTAAGATGCATATAAGAAAAAAAGAAAGGAATAATAACAACCACAGATTAGTGTATTTTAGTGTAATAACGGGGGAAACAGAACTGTACAGCCAGAAGAACTCTCAGTTAAGGAAGTTATAGTGGCTTTTTATGAAGAAAGTTACAGCAGGATCGCCACTGGCTTCTGAGTCATATCTGATAACGTCTCTAGCCACTGTGTTGCACCATCTCTAGGACCCCAACCAGGGAGTCGTGAAGGACCAACAGGAGCTAGGCCTTTGCAACTTTCTTCCATACCACGACACCATGTCATACACTGACCTCTTCTCCGCTTTTTCCAACCAGTCCCAGCGTCGGTAAAAAATGCACAACGAGGTATTTTCTGGGACGACATTCTTAAAACATGTCCAAGCCATCGAAGTCAATGTTTCAAGATAGTGAAACTAATTGAATTATCGTCTCCGCTCCCGAACACACGATGCCGAACCTCTGCATTACTAACATGGGGTTGTCACTGGATATCAGCAATCCTTCGGAGACGATGGTGGCCAAACACAGAGTCGTCCAACATCCTCAACTCGGAGAGTCAAGGTTTCACAAGCATAGAGCAAAACTGCTCTCACCGACGCGTTGCAGATCCAACCATTTACAGCCATACTAACATCATGAAGGCGCAAAAGATGACTCAGATTGGCATAAACTGCTATGGTTTTCATTATACGTGAAATGGTCTTATCACGAACTTCTTGACTACTTCAATCTGCTCACCATTCAGGGTGAGTTCAGGATTAGAATCCTGTCAGTCTTGTAGAAGTACTTTGCACTTGGAAGGTGCAAAGCACATACCGCACTTGCGGACACTGATTGCCAACTGATTAAGTGTGGATTGCATGTCTTGGGCATTATCGCACAGTAAGATAATATCATCCGCATACTTAAGGTCGAGAAGTCTTTTCCAGACAACATCCACACCACCACTACTTACATCCATCAGAGCTGTTTCCATACTGATAACTAAAATATGTCTCATCAAAAGGGTCACTTTACTTGAAGTCAGAGATAGTGCTTGAGGCAGTCAACATTTTAGAAATAAGGTCGGTCGCTTGAAAAATATAGACACTGGAATAGCACGCCGTTAAAATCAAATGTTTACGTATCGGATTGCTTCCGTCTAACCATGTAAGGCGTTCACTAATTCGAATAATTTTTCCGGTTGTGTGTCCAATATGACTTTCTCCTCAGGAGCAGCTGAATTCTTAAATACACATGGATGTAGCAAGAACAGGTAACTTATCCTGTCGTTGATAAGTCACCGTAGGTCAGCTGGAAAACGATATACCGAGGCTAGCTGGATTAAACTTCATCTTAATTGCCTTAATTAGTCTATCCCTTAGTAAGTCATTAACTCTCTTCATCGGATTGTAGTTTCAGGAAGAGAGTTTTTTTACTAACCGTCAATGTGGCTGTTCTCCTGTCCCACGTCAATTAGTTTTGAACTGTCACTCTGAATATTAAGACTGAAAGGTTTTCTGCTATGAAGCCTAAATTTTGCAAATGATTACAAAATAAAACTAAAAGTTTGTATAAATAACCACGCACTATATTTTTGTCCATATGGATCCGTATGTCTGTAATCAGACCATTTATTAGGTTGAAATCACCCCTGTTTTACATGATATAAGTAGACTAAATAAGATCAATACAGTGAAACGCGAGTAAAAATGGTCTAGAGATTGTTACTTTTTCAGTCTAATAATTTGAGTTCACAGTGAATCAGTCGATACATGAGTAGGTTTTGCTAAACTTTTCATAATATAAGTACCAGTATTAAGATAAGTGTCCATTTTACTGAGGTATTATATATATGACCTCAGTAAAATAGGCACTTATCTTAACACTGGTACTTACATTATGATCAGCTTTAGAATTCTCATTTTCACAGTTTAAATCATTAGTCGATCAAAGCTAGATCACCATTGAACAGTTGGAAGCACTGGACGGCAGACTCGTCCTAGTATGGGACTTCACGGAAGTGTGCATACACGATCCAGGACCTTCGGTCTCGCGTACGAACGCTTAACCTCTAGGCCACTTAGCCGGGATCCAACGGTGCTATTGCCTAACTTCAACTAATCCACGATATTGCGCCACCGTCCACCATTGTCCAATGCTTCCAGGTTTTCTGTGTTGGTCTAGCCTTAATCGACTCATGAATTCAACCAACAGATACATTACTTTAACAAATAATTTGTATTAAATTCCGCTCTTTTATTTTAGAATGAGTATTTGTTCTAGATTGTAAATATCGTTTGTGTCTATTTTCTAGTAACATTTAAAGAACATTAATTTTTGTGTCTTCACTATTTTATTTTTTCTAAAATATCTTAGTTTAAAGATGGTTTAAAATTTCGATGTGCTTACATTTTATACTGATTAATGTTTGACTGAATTAGCAGAAATAAAACAGTAAAAAACTATATGTAATATCAATAAAAAGACAGTAGTTGATTATTAGCCAAGCTGAAAATGTACAGAAACGTAATATATCTCTGTCGAACCTGTATGAATAACAAAATTTTGACAAATCAGCTACGGAGACAAGTTTGAATATAAGTTAACATATTTCTCAGTATTTGTGACATTAAATTAAAAAATAAATCAGACTGCTCAAACAGTGCCATTTTTGAGATCATTTCATTATGTGGTGTATGCTACTTATGTATGTCGTTATAAGCAGTATGCAACACCAATCAGAAATGGAATGTTTAGAACTAAAAAGTTGAGAAGATCGAATTTAAGAGAACAAAAATGTAAACAAGGGGGAGTTGTGATAACAACAGGAATGAAGGAACGGTAAAGTTTGTAAAAGACAATTGATGAAAGATGTGTAAATAAAGTATTTAATGTATGGTTTATATATTTTATGAAAGCTCTGTGTAATTTTGAATTAACCCATATATACTTGGCTACCCCATCTGATTGTTCGTTTACTACGATTATAGTATATTTGTGAATGATATTCAAGTATATAAGTGAAGTTATTTCTGAGTTACTAGTGAGGGAACCTTGATATGACAGATTTGTAGATATCGAGGGTGGTTCTGAAGG